GTAGTAGGTGGACACCACAGCCCGTAAGGCATGGGTAATCGATCGACCTACTATGGCGTTATACAGGGAGGGGGTTGCGACCACTAAGAAATCGTGGTTGAGCCCCACTATGCTAGGCCAAGTGCCGACCTCCACGGGTACTATATTCCTTCCCATGGGCCTGACTTCCTCTCCACTAAAGCCTACCAAGGGAGTGTTCGTGGGCTTTTGGTTGCTCTCCTAGAGCTATAGTTGGTCGGAGGTTGCTCTGAAGAGGATGTCCGTCGAGCTGCCCGAGTCGACGAGGACACGCCAGACTTCAAAATCGTTGATCTTCACCTTTATGACGAGCGCGCCATCATGGGAGTAGTGGACCCCGCGCGCGTCATCTTCTGTGAAGAAGATGGGGTTTTTCAACCTTGGCCGCTTTGGGGGGTTCTGCTCTTCCCTGGCGGCTTCGCAAGCTGATGCGCGAGCTGCAGCTGAGGTACAACCCACCACAATCGAGCCTCCAACTATGACGTGGATGGTCCCCCGAACTGGTCTCTCTTCGGGGGGCTGCTTCTGCGGCTATTCCGCTTGCCTGCTGGACTCGGGAGCATCTCTACTCTACTCCCCTTGCCGACCTGCTTTATTATTATTATTATTACTTTGTACAAAATTTCTCAAATATCCGCGACGGATGAGTTCTTCTATCTCATCGCGGAGATTTTTACAATTTTCGGTGCTATGACCGTGATCTTTATGAAAGCTACAGTACAGATTTTTATTTCTAACATTAGGGTCCGCCTTCAACCAAGGTGGCCACTTCACGTACAGAGCGTCCTTGATCACCATGAGGATCTTAGCCCGCTTCATGTTGAGGGGTGTATAGTTCCTTTCTATTGCTGGAGCTCGAAAAGGTTGATTTGGCTTTGCCCCCGAGTTTGATCCTTCTTCTTCCTACTATCGCCCTGAGTTGGGGGCTCTGGTTCCCTCTTCCCTTTCTCAAGGGTCTGCTCGCCCTTCTGGTTGATTTCCTCCTCCGTCCCTATGAACCGATCCGCGAGCTCAAGAAACTCGGTCACGGTCTTGGGTTGATTGACAACTACATGCCACTTGAACTCTTTGTGGGTGATACCCCGCTTGGTTGTGGTGAAGCGAACTGCGGGATCCAGGTTGGGTATTTGTAAACAAGCGTCGTTGAACCGCTTGATGTAACTCCGAATGGACTCCCCATCCTTTTGAATTATGCCGAGGAGGCTTTCTTGAGTTCTCGGGCACCTTTTGTTATTGACGAAGTGGGAGGTGAAAACTTGTACGAACTGCGCCTAGCTTCTTATCGAACCGGGCACGAGGTTACGGTACCATGTGCGGGCAACCTCTTTAAAGGTGGTGGAAAAGGCCACGCACATGCAGGATTTACTAGCTCTTGCCAGGTGCATATGGGACTGGAAGGCATCCACTGGTGGGAGCTTGAAGTCCCTTGGCATGGGGACAGCAAGGAGTTCTAGAGATAATGAGGAAGAAACTGAGAGAAGAGGGGTAGCTTTCACTTCACCTGAGCATACCTCCTCTTTTCCTTTGAGCTCGGGAGAGACTCGGGTAGCAGTTCGNACAAACATTCTCAAATATCCACGACGGATGAGTTCTTCTATCTCATCGCGGAGATTTTTACAACTTTCGGTAATATGATCGTGATCTTTATGAAAGCTACAGTACAAATTTTTATTTCTAACATTAGGGTCCGCCTTTAGCCGAGGTGGCCACTTCACGTACGGAGAGTCCTTGATTGCCACGAGGATCTCAGCCCGCTTCGCGTTGAGGGGTGTATAGTCCCTTCTTGTTGCTGGAGCTCGGAAAGGCTGATTTGGCTTTGCCCCCCAAGCTTGGTCCTTTTTCTTCCTGCTATCGCCTTGAGCTGGGGGCTCTGGTTCCTTCTTCCTTTTCTCAAGGGTCTGCTCGCCCTTCTGGTTGATTTCCTCCTCCGTCCCTACAAACCAATCTGCAAGTTTGAGGAACTCCGTTACGGTCTTGGGTTGATTAACAACTACGTGCCACTTGAACTCTTTGTGGGTGATACCTCGCTTGGCTGCGGTGAGGCGAACTACGGGATCCAGGTCGGGTATTTGTAAACAAGCATCGCTGAACCACTTGATGTAACTTCGAATGGACTCCCCTTCCTTTTGAACTATGCCGAGGAGGCTTTCCTGAGTTCTCGGGCACCTTTTGCTGGTGACAAAGTGGGAGGTGAAAACTTGCACGAACTGCGCCCAACTTCTTATCGAACCAGGCGCAAGGTTGCGGTACCATGTGTGGGCTACCCCTTTAAAGGTGGTGGAAAAGGCCACGCACATGCAGGATTCACTGGCTCTTGCTAGGTGCATCTGAGACTGGAAGGCGTCCACATGATCATTTGGATCGAAGGATCCGTCATACTTGTCCAGTTGGGGGAGCTTGAAATCCCTTGGCATGGGGACAGCAAGGTGTTCTGGAGATAAAAGGGAAGAAACTGAGAGGAGAGGGGTAGCTTTCACTTCACCTGAGCATACCTCCTCTTTTCCTTTGAGCTCGGGAGAGACTCGGGTAGCAGTTCGGTGAGCTCGCCGGCGTCTTCGCCGTTGATTTGTCGGCTCGGCGTTGGTGCTTGATGCTTTAGTGTCGTCGAGCTTGACGGGCTCAGACTGCTAGTGGTGGCTCTAAACCGAAGGGCCCTGCCTATAGTCCACGGCCAGAACCTCTAACGGATTCTCTGCGAGCGGGAGCTTGAATCGCGAAGGCCGAGGCGATATAGGCTTGGTTGGCTGGGAGGCCCCCGACCTGCCCACAGGCTGTGAGGCGGGGGTAGTTGGCCTCTCCTTCTTGCTATGGGAAGGTGCTTGATGCTTCAGTGTCGCCGAGCTCGACGGGCTCAGACTGCTGGTGGTGGCTCTGAACCGAAGGGCCCTGCCTATAGTCTGCGGCCAGAACCTTGAACGGATTCTCTGCGAGCGGGAGCTCGAACTGTGAAGGCCGGGGTGATACAGGCTTGGTTGGCTACGAGGTCCCCGACCTGCCCACGGGCTGCGAGGCGGGAGTGGCTGGCCTCTCCTTTTGGCTATGGGAAGAGGCTTGGCTCTTGGCGAAATCTTGGGCCTGGGAGGCCTCCTTAACGAGGTTGTTTACTCTGGTGAGAGGGCTTGGTCTGCTTCGTGGCCAGATGCCGAGGGGGAAGCAACGACTGGGCCTGAGGCAAAGAAGGGAACTGCTAATGATACTGGTATTGGGAAACCTGGTGCATCACTTGTTGTTGGTAGAGTTCGAATTGTTGAAATTGTTGCATTTGAGCTTGCATGGCTCGCATGCACTGCATTAAGTCCTCCAACTGGTTCGGGTTGGCCGCTGGGGGCACAACCGAGGGTTCAACAAAGGTTGCTCCAACTGTGGAAGGGAGTGGAGCGACCGCGGGTGCCACAGTGAGAGGCACGTTCAAACTGGGGACTCCGTCCACGGAGAGGGGGACGGTGAACTGCCCAATACAAATAGTAGGAAGTTGGGGCTGCTCCCCAAAAGCGTTCTGGCTGGCACCACGTCCGGCGTTGCTGGAGGAAGCCATGAATGCTGAATTTTCAAAAAAGGAAACTGTAAAAGCTTAGCGGAAGGCTTTTGGAAGCGTTTCCCACAGACGACGCCAAATGATGCGGCACGATCCGGGCACTCCTACCTGGCTGTTAACTAGCACCTAACTAGCAACGGACGGCACCTGAGAAGGAGAAGATGAAAGTAAGAGTGTAAGAGTGTAAAGAGGCTAAGAGTGTAGGTCGCGCTGGATCACTGAGTTCTCAAGATTAGCTTGAGAGCAAGTAAATTTCAGATAGGATCTCAGATGTTTGAGAGAGAGCCCTTCCCTTTAACTAGGGAGCTCTTATATAGACGTTCTTGTCAAATCGGGCGTAACCGCCACTAGGCTTCTGTCGTAGCCGTTACCTGTCAGGGTTGTGCAGGTGACCGTTGCAGCGTACTACCCAATTGGATGGGTGACACGTCCCGGGAGGACAGGCACGCCACCATCTGTCGAAAGACGTGGGTACAGTCTGTCGAATGGGCAGGGACTGCGGTGTCAATCAGGAGACGTGGTGCTGTTTGACGGGTACGTTCTTGTCAGATAGAAGCTTCCTGAAAGCATCGCGTCGCTTAGTCGCGAGCTACCTTGTAGCGAGCTATCCTGTCGCGAGCTCCTAGGGGTACTTCGAGGTGACCCTTCTCAAGGTTGTCTTTGGGGCAGTTTTTTTGCCTAAGTGTTGGAGCGAGCTGGTTACCCTAACTCGTGAGTTGGGATAGTCTTGGAGTATTCTCTTTTGATAGCTCGGGGGACCTCGAGCTCGCGCTGTAGCAAGCACCCCCTGTAGCGAACTGTCCTACAGGCTCGTTACTTAGTCGCAGTTAGGCTGCGGTGCTGAGCTGTTGCTTGTGTTGAGTCAGGTCCACGTGTCATTGTCTCAAGGGGTCGGGTCAAATCATCCTCCATCAAGCCTCCAATTAGTCCTTCAAGTTCTTCATTCCATTACTTTGCAGATATTCACTGAAGTATTATAGGAAACAAAACAAGAGGGGAAATCTTTAGGTTCCAAAATAAATTCATCTAAACATAATTTACAAAACTGTCAGGCTATATATACCCTTATGCATTTTTTTCGATAAATAAAAAGAAAATCTCATTAAAATAAAAAAGAGTACAAAATCTGGATAGGTGGCAAGGTAGCACCTAAACCACCAGAGAATATACCCTTATGTATTTGGATGCAGAAGTTCTATATGTGACAAACAAATTAAAGAATATGATCGTCCACATTGCTGCATGCCCAGATAACATTGAATTTAAACCCTCCAATCAGTTACCCAGATCAAAAGATGCTATGGGAGACTACACCTGCATGCAGATTGCAGATCACTCAAAGGTAAAATCAAGAAAGAAAGTCTGAACTTCTGCAGCTATAGTTTCTTTCTTCTTGTTAATATGTTTTCTTCTTCTTTATCCTTTCAGAATTTTCACCACTTTCCCATGAATCCATGAATTAAAATAGAGGCAAATAGAAAGCTAAAAGGACATATACAGATTTAGATATCAATGAACAAGTGTGTATAAAGATTTACATTCTGATACCCTCTAATGCAATTACAGTAATGTTCCCTTTCGAGGAGGAAATGATTATCTCTTTGTTATGTCATCCTTCTTCACAGTGAAATCCCAAAGGTCCCCATACTTCTCATTAAAGTCCCATATGTCCATTGTGTTGTAATCAGAAATCAACTTGTCACGAGCTCCTCTCTCCATATTGTAGATTTGGGGTTCAAAATTGTGAGGTTTATCGGGTTTCCCCATCTCAATCATGCAAAATATCACTACAAAAACTCCAGCCCCTATGTACAAGTACTCCCCCTGAAAGGCAGATCAGAAGGTTCTTTGATGAGAGAAATGGTTAATTCATGAAGAGGGCTTCAGCCATTTTTCAAATGCAGTTCTAGAGAGAAGTTAAAGGTTCTTATGACAATACCGGAACATGGTAAACCAACCCTGCAATAATTGCTGGAAGGAAAAGCCATGATATAATCCCTGCCAAGAAAAAAAAAAAAAGAGAGAGAGAAAAGACATCACCACTGCCAGTTTTCTTGTTTCCTGATTCCTGAGTAATAAAAGTGATCAGCAATAGTAAATAACTAAGTACCCTGGAAACCGGTAGGGGGTTCCATTGCGGCATACTCTTCTGCAACTGCTCCCCAAAATGTTCCTACAATGTAAAACTTATGTCAAAAATTAAGGGAATTCCAAAAAAAATGAATAATTTTGTGGAAAAGAGGACTTCTGCCATTGGCAAAAATACTGGAGCTTTGATACCTTAGCATGAACATGTTCATCAATAAATGATACAGCATTAAGTTAGAAGCAAGTAAACGAACCTCCTTTTTGTTTATTTACAGGCCATCTAAAAAATGATTTAAGCATCAATTGATCAGATGATCCAATTCCTTTTCAAGGGTCATATCAAAGGGTGAATGCAGTGACATCTCCAGTCCCCTTCATACATAATGGTTTACTACTTGTACATGCATCTTGATGTCTTTTAACGAGAAAGCCAAATAAAGGTACTGAGACATCAGATTTAGACAAACAACAACAGTTACAGAAAGTAACGGAGATATAAAAAAATTGAACGCAACTTTCATTACGATATCAGCATGGGAGTATTGCACAAGGAATAAGGTATGGGATGATGTAGTGACATAGAATTCAATGGAAAATTTGTTTACTTGTGGAACTTAATTATTTGGAAATCTAGCATGGAAATTTGAAGGCAATTCGCACTAGGGAAAATTCCTTCTTGATCACAATGTGCCAATTCACCCAAAAGCTGGACTGTCATCCTATGGCCTAGATTGGAATATGCCAATTGGTTTTCAAAAGAGTTGATTTAGGAATGTTTGCACTGGCACTTTTCATCCAGATCATTGAAATTCAGAGTTTTGATTGGGGAAGCTCGCCCGATACCCGCCATCCCTCACATGAGCAGTAACGGCCTGATAACTGTGCTCTACCACAAGGGATGCAACGACCCCGAAGGAATATTACCAGACCCATACGGTTCAGGGAATAGAAGCCACTCATTGACAGATTTTAATTAGTTACACATGATCATTGTGCCTCTCTGGCATAACCGAATTCAGTTAAGCATCTCCTATATATATATATATATATATGTCATTACAGTAAGAGTGAAAAGAGAACAATTCAATTCTCCCATCTCTGTCTCGTCTTCCTTCTGGAGCTTCCCTCACGCTCGAAGTGGGGAAAAATTCCTCTAAGGCCTATTAAGTTTTTTCCCCCAAGTTGGAACTTCATAATTCAAAACTGATTGATGAAGAGTGCAAGAAGTTCAAATAGGACACTAGGTTGAGTTTGTCAAGCTTTGGTAAGCATAACAATATTCCACCATTTTTAAGAGCAGAGCCAACATGACAGCTGTTTCAGAGGGGGGAAACAATGAGACAAGCAAATGACAGGAACTCCTACTTTACATACATTATTACATTGAATTAAATCAGCAGAACACAACCTGATCAAATAAAACAAAAACAGATAAAAGAATAAAAATGAACGCCCTAGACACTAAAAATAAAATTTCAATACCTTTTTCATGTCCTTCATGGTAAGTGTGGTGCCCATCATACTTTCCATAGATAAAATCTTCCTGAAATTCAGAATATAAAGTAATTTAAGATCAAACAAACTAAAAGAAAAACTAGACGGTTGCTCAAGAACCAATATACTTACAGGGCTGATGCCATTGGTCGCCCAACGATCATGCTTATCTTCGATGAGATCTGGCTCTATCTCAGACAACCCGGCAGCATTTAGTCTGGTGGAGCTGTTAAGCCTTCGACTGAAATTGAGGATCTGAGAACTTGGACTTATCTTGGACGAAATCCTAATCCTAACTTCAGGGGGTTTAGAGATGATATTTGGGACCGAACTGGCAGATAGAACAACAGGAGTGGATGAGACCGCCATCTCTTGCTCTCTGTTTCGTTGAGCAGCTTGAGCTTCGCCTTTTACCCGCCTTAATTCATTTTTTTTACCCTTCCTTTTTTTGGGTTATCCTCATTTTTGTTTCAATTTGAACGAACGAAAACGAGCCGTTTTGCCCCTTATCCACTTGGAATTCGCATGGGATCCTTACAAAGCGCTCCAAACCTTACATCCCAACAATGCATCCCTAATGATTGGATCTCCTATCAACAAAACACATTCCAACAACCTGGCACCGCACATTTCACCTTGAGAATGGGACGTGCCATGTATAAGATGCACTGTTTTTCAAATCGGGCAATCACCGCTTTTTGATAAAAAACTATTGGTTTGGTCAGTAAATCGCTAACCCATACGGTCRAATTGTCAATTCGGATAATAGTTTTTTTCAATTTTTTGTTTTTTAAAACATTATTATAATTATTATTTATTTTTTTGTCAAAATGAGTTGTTTGTTCGGATCAGACAGTTGGACCGTTTGACCTGTGAACCAGTTCCTAAAACAGTTCCCTGTCTGATCCAGTTTTAAAAATCTTGATGAGATGTGTGGTGCCAGTTGATGTTGGGAGGGGGTTGGAACGTATTTCATTGATAGGTGATCTAGATTCTGGACTCATCCCCAATGCATCCTGAGATGTGCTATGTGGCCAAATCATCCACGTGGTTGTATTATAGGAGATCGGATTTAGTCCTCACTTTGCAGCCGTGCATTGGAAACATTTCCTATAGGGAAATATTCCCAATGCAGGGCTAAAAGGGAGTGTGAGGATAGTATAAGGACAGTCGTTTCGATTTCTTATACATGTTCCAATACCCTATTAACATGATCTAACACTACACATCTCATACATGATAGGACCCATTATGATAGGTGCCAATATAATGAAGTTCAGATCTGCTACAAACCAGACACTCCCAACCGGTCAATGCAGCCACACATTGAAAACTCCCCATGAGAAGTTCTCAATGTGCAGCTGCAAATGACTTATTGGGACAGTATTAGTAGCATTTTATTAGTAGCAAAACCCTACCTCTACATGCACATGCACATCCAACTGTGCATCTGAACTCTCCAGGGACTATAGGGAGATGGATCTATTCGCCAAGAAAAACACCTCAGGGATGGGAGTGCTTATGTATGATGTATCTATGAATCTCGTATGAAACTGAAACCCACTATAAACCCAATGTGTCTGCAATGTTTGGACACAAATCATCTTTTTTATTTTTTTCGAAGGCAACTCCGTAGGTGTTTAGTGCCATGGTATTTATGTCTGTTGACATTCTGTTTCAATGATACATTAGCATCACATAAGCGATTATACTTGTATCTTGGTTGATAGGCTGGTCAGGTAACGTTTTATATTTTAATATCTTGAAGTTGTGTAAAATTTACTTTTAAAAGAAATATTGGCAGTGTTTGATATCGATGTCATTTTCTGAGAAAATAGAGTCATGTAAGCATTATATCAGAAAAAGCGGTGCTTCAGAAAACGTTCTCTTATTTGGTACTGTTTTCTATAAAAAAATGTTGTTTCAGATAATACTTCAGAAATTGGGAAAATGAGGTTTGAAGCAATGCCAAATTTGATATTTTCTTAGAAAACAGTCATGGTGCAATAATGTGACAATATTTTGGACATTGGATAAAATGACCAATGCTGAAAACAGTTCTACAGCACTGGTACCAAACAAAATCAATGTTGTTTTCCTTGAAAACAACTTGTGTAGCAGCATCGCTTCCAAACAAAAAGTATAAAAAAACGATGCTTACAACTCAGGCATACCGACACCTTTTTTATGAGAAAACGGTATTGTGTTCCCAACACCGATGCCAAACACCTACATTATTTTGATGTTTATTTTATTGTGTTTCCACTTCGTTTATGAGGCCCTTATGTGTAATAAATAGGGTTAGTAACAAGTCCGATCTATCCGATAAACCCAAATTGATTGAACCAATTATAATGGATCTGGTTCTACGATTTTGTCCCATTTAATAATTGGGTGGATTCTGGTTTCTACCTGTCCTTAACTGATTCAGGCCCGGAACCGATTATTTTATATAATATTTTGTTATAACTTTTATTATATTGTATATTTGAAATGGTAAATTTGATTGACAAAATTTTAAGATAATATTAGTTAAAAATATTTAACTTATTAACATATAAATAAATAATTTAGTATTTTTATTAAGATTATATTATCAAAATTTAAAATTTAARTTATCTTATATTTTTTATATTACCGTAGCTGAAATGGGTTTTATAAAAACGTCACACGTGCCAATGTATACACCACCAATGAAATTTTACTATTTAATACTGTTTATTTCTGTAAACTAAAACTTTTCCATGTTGGATGAGAGACAAGTGTTTCTCTCCTCTAACCACTTCTCTCTCTCTCCATTTTGCATGTATGACGCGTGTCTACTTTTTTGTTTCTACTTCTCTCGCCATCTACTCTTGGTATTTTCATTTTTTCTCTTCCTCAGTGTTTCCACTTTCTTCTCCTCTCGCCATCAACCGCCACCAAGCCTCCATCAATTGTGAACGTGACATCTCAGGACGAAACGGACCACCTCATCTGGAAGCTTGAACTTAACATCTTGCAATTGCTAAAAGAAATTAGCAACAAAAAGAAGCTAAACGCATTCAATATTCTAAAAGCAACACCAGATTTCCAGAACTGTAATGGCAGGAGCAAGATGGCGAACAAGAAGGACATGCCTTCACTAAAACATCTCAATCTGGGACTGTTCACGATGAACTTAACCAAGGTTAGTTGCTTCAAATATGTAGTGATGATGTGCAATCCGGCCGGGCTTAGTTATCAACGACCTTGCCTCTGAACTGAGTAGCAGAGAACCTGAAACGGAGGAGACGAGGAAGCTCCAGGGGGAACCCGGTGTAAAGGCTCCGAAGCTTAAGTTAGAATCCTTCAAAGGCAAGATAAAACCAGATAGCGCAAAGTTTGCATACCTCCTCATTGGGGGTGGAGAGCCTTTTATAACCACCTCGCGCACTCACTCCTAGACTCCTGTCAGGTC